CCCCCTTTGAATTTTGAATTCCCCTCTCTTAATGACTTTCCTAATTAAGCCATATTAATTTGGAAAATTAATTAAGAGGAGTTACACATATTTGAAATTCAAATTCAAATTCCCTCTTACTTTCATTTGAATTTGGGAGTTACTTATGATAATTAATTAAGAGGAGTTACACATGTTTGAAATTCAAATTCAAATTCCCTCTTACTTTCATTTGAATTTGGGAGTTACTTATGATAATTAATTAAGAGGAGTTACACATGTTTGAAATTCAAATTCAAATTCCCTCTTATTTTCATTTGAATTTGGGAGTTACTTATGATATAATTAATTCTGAAATTAAATGTCATATATTATTATGTTTAATTAACTCCTTGTGGTCCCCACTCATTTAAATTCTCAAGCCTCCTCACCACTATACATGGCCGGCCCCTCTCTCCTCTCTCTCCCCCATTAAGTCTCTTTTATCCACCTCACCAATCTTCATTAATTGGTATCTCATTATGGATCCAATTAATTAAGATTCCAAACTTACTTCTCTCCTAATCACCTCCACAAATTCAGCCCAACTCTTCTCCCCATTTCCACCCCTCCCTCCTTGGATTAATTTGAAATTCAAATTAAATCCCTCTCCTAAACCACTAAAATCTGAATTTTATTTCAGATTTCCTGCATTTGCCTCTTAGCCCCAACCATAGCCAACTCCCCCCATCTTCTCCTCTTTTGCTTCAACAAGTGGTCAGCTCAAGGGCTCAAGAAAGAGTTCTCCACATCCATGGACGGCCGATCCCAACTTCGACCACGGCTTCGTCTTTGAAGACCAAGAAAGAATGGATAAGACGTTGGATGCTCACTAGTTATCCCATAGACTACCCGCCACCGGCTACCACTCCAACGGACTACACTTTGTGCGCCATTTGTCTCCTTGTGGCATCGCTCGGTTGCTCTCAATCTTCCTCCATTAAAAGTGCCACCAACAAGAGAGTGAGTGAGAGACCCAAGGTGAAAAGTTCTATTTGTTAATTATGGATTATTGTTTCTCCCCATAACATTACTCTCTAATTTTATGTTGTCAATTTGATCTTGTCTCGTTAATCTAGTTGTAACCGCATGCCTTACTTAATTTTGACTTGATAATTCTGAAAACCTAATTTGGGTAAGCATTAATTTTATAACTAGCAAAGCTTTAACAGTCTTAAATCCCCAAGCAGTTCTTGTTTCCATGCATTACGTTTTACATCAGAAAGTAACTATTTAGCTCTCCATTTATAATATTTATAGTATTTGAGAAATGCACATTGGATGTGCAAGCAATGATCTAGCTACCAATATTAAATTTGGAGCAAAAAAAGTTTGGGAGAGTCACTGGAGTTGAATCCATAAAGCATCTCATTGGCAAGTTTGACATTTCTAATATTTGCTAACTAAGTCTTTTTAGGTCTACCTCTACTTTTCTTAACATAAGTTAAATCTACTACATCTACTTTTCTAACTGGGTCATCAGAAGACCGCCGTTTTATGTGAAATATTTAAGGCGACTCTCTAATCTTATCTTCGATTGGAGCTACTACAACTTTTTCACATATATGCTCATTTCATATCCTGTCTCTAAAAGTAAAGCTACTCATCCACCTGAGCATCCTCATCTCTGTAATAGTTAACTTAATATTATATTTTCTTTTAATGATCAACATTCAACACCAAATGGAGAGTGTCAATGAAGAGTATCAATAGTGTATCAATAAAGAGGTCGATGTAGTGATAAAAGCCACTGACATTGTAGGCGAGGTTGATCGAAAGTCAGATGCAGTGAAAGTGGAACACAATGATGAGAGAATCATTGTTGGAGGCTTGTGGAAGAGTGTTGTGACAAGGATTGGTGGTTATGGATCTATATGATTATGACCATAAAAAAACTCGTTGAAGAGAGTTGCGACGGGCAAAGACTAATAACTTTTAATGGTTGAAGTAGGTAGGCAATGGTAGAAAGCTTTTGAGCATTGGGGTTGATGATGAAGTGGTGGAGGAGAGATCATCAGAACAACAATACGAGCTTTTTGCCAGTGAGTCGCAAGCATGCATGATACATATTCATTGTGAGTTGTCAAAGATGGTAGGTTAAGTAAAGACTGGGAATGAGATCATGGTGTTAGCGATCACAATGTTAGCTTGATCTGGAGTGTTGTTGATATACATAACTAGTGGATGGTGCTAGTGGCATATGATGGCAGTGAACGATTTTGAGCAACATTGGCATGATGAATGACTAAAATGGTTCCCAACTATATTTTGACATATGATGGATATTATTAGCATTATTTTTGGATACCTTTATATATAATTAGAGAAAAGGACTAAAATGCCTTAACTCTTTATGAATGACCAAAATGGTTCCCAACTATATTAAAGGATTATTTTAATCCTTCAACTCTTTAAAGAGGAACCAAAATAATCTCACTATAGGACCATTTTGGTTCCTTTTCAAGGACTTGAAGAACTAAAATGATTATTTAATATAGTTGGTGACCATTTTTAGCTCTTCATAAAGAGTTAAAGTACCATTTTGATCATTTTCCCTCTATAGAATTAGTTTAAATATCCTCAATGGGATCTTCAAGTTTCACCTGTTAGTACTCCGCATTTATTCTTGACATTTTCTTTTTTTGAGCAACAAAGGAGGTGAATGATCTTTGGTTAGGACCAGCCTCTTTATTTCCATAAATGCATTGCTGACACTAGAGTCATTTTTTTAGTTTTATATGGGTGCAACAAATATCGTTTGTGAAAAATCTGTCTGTCCTCCAGTCTTCATTCCAATATATTATGTCTAACAGTTCTTTTTTTGTTGCAGGTCCTCGCTTCTTTTCTAAATCTAGAACTTTTAGCTTTTTTTTTTTGGAAAAGAAAGCGCATGAGCCGAAGTTTTATTGAAGCACTGCTACCTAGCAGCCTACATGGAATCACCTGGTAGTTTTTTTTTTGAAAATAATTAACCGATAAGTTAGATTCTCATGTATACTATACAAGTTATTATGTTGTTATACTTTTTTCTGGATTAATGTGGTCTTATTGTATATATGTCTTTTTTATTTTGTCCGTCATGGTGCCTAATTTTATGTTGATTAATGATGCCTTTTTTGTAGTTTTTTTTTGTCCCATTTGATATTTTTTGTCCTTATATCCTTATCAGTGCTATATGGATTATGATACTGTATTTGCATTCATAAACTGAAAAGAATCTGTTTTTATTATTTTCCTAGATGGCGTTTCAAGGGAGACCTCTGTTCTTGTTATTGTGCTGGAAACCAGTGAAGTTTACATTCTTGTGAGTCTGTCAACAAGGAGTGATACTCAAGTAATTAACATCGATCCAACTACTGGTTCACTGAGTTATACTGGAAAGCTTGGGCATGACCTTTTTAACCGTGAGGAAGAAGCTTTAAACTACATTACGGATGGTTCGAGGCTTTTATGTAAGAATATCACTCATGCGAGGGCCTTACTTGGCTATGCGGCACTTGGAAGTTTTGGATTGCTTCTAGTAGCAACCAGGCTGATCCGTACGATTCCTCTACTTCCTGGTGGTGGCTGTGTTTACACAGTTACAGAAAGTAAATGGATAAAAATCCAGCTTCAGAACCCTCAATCACTGGGCAAAGGAGAGCATAAAAATATCCAGGAATTAGCTGAACTTGACATCGATGGAAAGCACTATTTTTGTGAAACAAGGGATATTACACGACCTTTTCCAAGTGCCATGACTTCCCAGAATCCTGATGATGAATTTGTTTGGAATGCTTGGTTTTCCAAACCATTCAGGGATATTGGCCTGCCAAAACATTGCGTTATTCTCCTGCAGGTTTGTACGCATGGACTCTATTGAATTGGTTTTGTAAGTCATTCCTATGTAATATTTTTGAAACTACAATTTGTCTGATTCTGGGGCTTACAGCAATTAATGTTTAAAACAGCTTCCTTTCAATAGTTCACTTTTGTTGTTTAAATTGTTCATGATAAGAAGTATTCCTTATGTGCTTATATTTGTGAAGTGATGGTTGCAGTGAATGCCTTGCGTTTTGTTTTGACAAAAAATATCCCTTGGCAGGTAGATCAGAAAGTAAAAACACTGGAAAATCTGCATTTTTTGGCTGTGACACGTGGGTTTTCTTTTGGACGTAATGTATTTCACTTCACAGTGGTAGTTCTGGAAACACGCCCTTATGGACTTCAGTATTATTTTCTTTCATAGTTTAGATCCTTTGGAGTATTAACAATTTCGTTAGCCTCATAAGAGAAAGCAACAGAAGGTGCAATTAAGATGATGAGGACATCGTCAGCGATTTCAACACGTGTACCATCGGAGACACCGGAGATCGACGGCCACGATCAGGAGTTTATATTTTGAGTCATTTTATGTAGTAGTTTATTTTATTTTTTAAGTTTTTACTGTTTTACTCTTATATGTGGTCATTTGATATTGTAACCCCGAGGGCATTTATGCCTTTTAGTTTTTGTTTCATTTTGACCTATTTATAGGAGGCCTCATGCATTGCACTGGATGATGATTGATATGAAAAAAAAAAAATCCAGCTTTTGCTTTTGGATCTCTTTGTGAGTTCTAGAGAGAGTGGCGAAGCCTAGGAGAGGCTCATTCGAAATACCCAACAGCCCCCTTTGTGGGAGCTCTTGGTTCCTATCTTCTTCTTCTTCCAATTCTTCCCTTCTCCCCTAGCCGCCGGAATCCCCACCTGCAAGCCGCCAGTTTCAGCCCACCGAGCCCCATCCCTTTTTGCCGCCGGCCTCCCTGGGCCACCCGCTTCCTCCAACCCAACCGCCACCCACCCTTCTCCTCTCTCCCCCCCTACACCGAAATCAGCCTAGCCACTACCCCATAGATCCCCACCCGCTGGCCCTCTTGTTCTTCGTTTGAATTTCAAAATTCAAACTAACCATGATTACTTTCCTAATTTAATGTGCTATTAATATGGAAAGGTTTGTTTTTGAATTCAAATAAATATTTCAATTTCAAATACCTTCTTTATTAATCAACGCCGATTAGGAAACTCCATCATTTAATAAAATATGAATTAGAATTTCAGATTTGATTAAAACCTTTATTAATTTCCGTGGGCCCCACATACTAAGCAATTAACTCCCCCTCCCCTCTCTCTCCAATTTTCATTAATCGCTATCTATTAAGACTCTAATTACCTCCCATAATTCCTCACCTCCCATTAATCATTTTTATTTGAACTTGAATTCAAATTCAAATCCTTCTCTCCAATTTCACTAAATCTGAGAATTAATTTCAGATTTCTTTTCTCCTCCCAAATCCCCACCTAATCCTAGCCGCCCCTTCTCCACTTTCCCCAACCCGAGCCCCCACCTAAAGGCTGTTACAGATTTTCTTCTTGCATGTCCACATGCTGTCCACTGTTTGGGAAAATTTCAGGTTGCTGTCCTCTGTTCAAGAGTGCTCATATCAGCAACAAAGTTGTCCCGGGAGACCTCCTAGCTGCTGGCCAGTTGATTGGAGAATCACCGGCTGCTGCCACCAGTCCAGGAACGTCAAAATCAGCCAGGAAGTGGTCCAAGAAGGCCTCCCAACTGCTGTCCAATTGGGATTAACTCCTTCCCCACTTAGCGGAATTCATCGACGAACAAAGTTTCTTGAAGAGTGGAAGATCACCGGACGAATACCCGTTTCTTGACGTGAACCTAGATGTGGACTTTTCTGTGGAGGATTACTTGAAACACATCCTTTTACGTTAGCACCTTCCATCGAGGTGCATATTCCTCCTGGACGTTGGATACTCATTAGTCATCCTGTGGATTCCCCGCCGCCGGTTACTTCTCCAACGGACTATACCTTGGGCACCATTTGTCTCCTAATGGCGTTGCTTGGTTTGCTTTCAATCTTCCTCCGTTATAGCCCCACTATCAAGAGCGTGAGTGAGGGACCCAAGGTGAAGAGTTCTATTTGTTAACCGTCGATTATTGTTTCTTGACATAACATTACTCTCTATTTATATGTTGTTAATTTGATATTGTCCAGTTAATCTAATTGTAACTACAAGCCCTGCTTAGTCTCTAATTGATAACTCCGAGAACCTAACTTGGGTAAGCACTAAATTTATAATTAGCAAAGTTTTAATAATTTGATATTAAATCCCCAAGCAGTTCTTGTTTCCATGCGTATGTTTTACATCATAAGACATGCTATTAAACAAGGGATTTCAACTGGTTTGAGTTCTATTCTAGATGGGAAAGCCGTTTATTCATACTGACGAGTTAATTGTCAAATGTTTAATTGGATAATAAAGAGCGAGAAGTAGGTGTGTATATTATATTAAAGCTTGCCAATCTCAACATAGAGTCTGTTTTGGTGGTGTACATTTTCGTTAAAATCAGACAAGGAGGTCACAGTTCTAGATTGAATTTAGATTTTTGGTTTACCGTGGAAAAGCTAAATATGGATTTGAGATTTTGGATTATAGTTCATCCCCAAACCCATGATCTGTAATTTAATCAAGAAGTCAAATATGGTTTATGAATTTTGTTTCATCTAGATTGTGCAATTTTATTTTTTAAGAAATTTTGAATATTTTTTGTTTCCATTTTTGGAAGGAATTTGGTTGGATCAGTTTGTCAGTTGGTAGAGCCAAATTCGGTATTGTTTGGTTCATTTGGTGAACTGAATAGCAACTACATAGCCCTTGTTAGAAGTAGAGCTTCTGTAGGCCATAGTTGGATGTGCCTTTTCCGTGGAAGTAAGTTCTATTTCGTGCATATCTGAATTGACTAGGCTGTGGCGGAGTTAACCATTATTTGTGCCACAAGCTTTCAACTGATTACAAACCCTTTGGGTGTTTTTTCAAATTTATTGTTTGTTGAAGGCACATAAAACTAATATACCATTTTCCACATCCCGTTCTTTAGTAAATCATGATTTCTATTAGGTTTTCCCCCTAGTTATGCCCATTTTTTTGCTAAGCCATTGTTTTTCATCTTCTTTTTCATTATATGCATTGATCATTTTTTCTTTGATGTTTTCTTAACTCTTGCTTATTTATTTAAAATTCATTATTTGTCTTATTTAAGAAGTTTTTGTTTTTGTTTTTTTTTTTAATTTCTGTTATCCTGATTTGCTAACATTGATGAACACTGTTCAGGGATTTGCCGAATGCAGAAATTTTGGGAACTCCGGGCCAGGGGGCATTGTTGCGCTTTTTGCTCGTCGAAGTAGGTTGCATCCTGGTACCCGCTATTTAGCTAGGGGACTGAACGCATGTTCTAGCACAGGTGTTGCACCCTTCTTTTCTCATTTGTGCTATGTTCTGAAAACTTGTATAGAAACTTGGGATATATCTATATTTCATGCAGGATAACTTGATTTAACATAAAATCTCGTTTAGATTTTTAGAAAGGTTGTATATTTTCCCATTTAATGATTTAATTTCTGTATTATACGGCATAGTTGATGAGGACATCGTCAGCATATTTTCGACGCCGGAGATCGACGGCCACGAGCATGACTTGTATTTTGTCATTTTATGTAGTAGCGTATTTTATTTTGATGTTTTTCCGTTTTTACCCTTATGGGTATATGTACGTTTCACATCAATAGTAGTTCCTTAGAATTTTTGCGTATAAACTCGTTTGTTTTTCTATTTAAGGGCACGAGTGTAAAAAGTGAATTCAACCTTTTTTTTGGGTATAACTCCTTTCGATAAATCTGACATTCTACTGGATTTAATTAGTGCAACATCCTGGGAAAGACACATATTACTCAACCACCCTCAGTCTCATACCAATCTATTCTGGGGTTGGCTTTAAAAATCTGCATTTATTGAATAACTTTGGTTTAACTTCAGTATATTATTGATGCCTAATCTCAGCCCTTTAATTTTTTTCGGGCTTAGGAGAGACAATATTCTGGACTTGGGGCAGAACACTATGTGAATGTGTTATTGGGCCGACGTGCTTCTCATTAATAATATAATTGTAGCTGTTTCATCAAATAATTTGCTGTTGTGGCTCTTCACCATCTTTACTTACTGTTAGCATACTGGCCTTAGTATTTGTACAGATTTCACTTCCCTTTTTCTATCTGATGATAAATTGAGACCTCTCTCCCCTAGTTTGTTTACGTTGTGCTTTCATATGAAATGAAAAAGTTTGCCCTCAGTAGACCTTTGCCTTTATAGTTTAGTTCCCACTTGTTCTGCACCGTGGATTTTTTCTTATCGTGTTTTGGTAGAGTATTCTGGATAATGCTTGCATTTTAATGGTGCCACTTCTAAACTCTTTGAGGGAGGCGTTAGGCTGCTTGAAATCTTCAACTATTATTAGTGGAGAAAAATCCTAAAGTAGTCCTCCAATTATTAGTAAGTGCCCAATTTAGTCCCATACTGGTGCATTCAAGCCCATGGTGTTCACCTAGGGTTTATTTGTGTTTCCTATTTTGGATGGACTTTAACCTTTCACAAGTGCGATTTGTGAAGGATTAAAGTTTTTCCTAATGGGTTTACAGGGTCTAGAGTAGTTTGCTAAGGGTCCTTGACACCTCTTAAGGGCAAATTATGGTTAACCTAGCCTAAAGGCTCCAACGGTCATATAGGAAGAAGTATCCTAGGTTTTTGGATTTTTTAGGGCTAGCCGCTAAGTCTTTAAGAATCCACCTAAAAAGGTCCTATAAATAAGGCCCTATACTAGGGAAGAAATATTAAGGCTAAACTCAAGATAATGAAGTCAACCTTATTTAAAAATAAGAACAACACTTTTTACCACAACTTCTATTATTATCATGGTTGTGAAATCAGACCTGATGTTGAACCAAAAATATTTGAGGTTCAAGGTTTAATGGTTCTACTGGTGTTAAATCAAATAATGTAATAAATATTATAATTATTTAAATAAAAAATAAATAATATAATGATATAAATTTATGACTAAAAATAAATTTAGTTTACATATAAACTTATAAATTATTACTAATTTATGTTCAATTTAATTTAAATTATTATAAACTATTGTTAATTTATGTTATATATTTAGATAAATTTTATAAACATAAAATATATATTAAATTCATATTAAAATTTTACATCTATAAATCATTCATGCTTGTTATGGGTTGAGAAATTCGTGGCAGCAGAGTAAAAAAAATTTACAAAAAATTTTACGTCCTAATGATACACAAAAATTTAGCAAATAAACAGGCAATTGAGGAGACAGAGGAACACCAAAATTTTTATGTGAAAACCCCTAAAAAGGGGAAACCACTAGGCCTTGCTTAGTTAAAAGGATTTTACTATTGTTTGATGAAATACAAAGATAGACCCGTCCCCAAAACTCAAAGAAAGGGAGAATAAATTATGTTGAAGATTTTGCCAAACCCTAACAGGAGCTTATAATCTTTAATGGATGGTTAACGTTGGGAATAATATGATAATAGTCAAGAGAATGTTCGACAGTGGTCCGATGACGGTCAGCGATTAGAAAGAAGATCTAACGGCATCCAACAAACATGCTGAGGTCGTACAAAGATCAGTAGTTAGAAGGAGATCCGACGACGGCTGATCAAGTAGAAGTCCGGCGATGGTCGGTGGTCGGAAAGAGATAAACGACAGTTGATGAACGGGTAGAAGGCCGGCGACGGTCGATAGTCGGGAAGAAATCCGACGGTGGTTGACGAACTAGTGGAAGTTCGTCGACGATCAGTGGTAGGGAAGAGATCCAACGGCGTCCAACTAACGGGCGGAAGTCTGACGAAGATCAATAGTCAGGAAGAGATCAAGAGATTGCTAACGAATGGGTGAAAGTTCGGTGATGGTTGGTGGTCGGGAAGAGTGGCGGTGGTCGACGAATGGGTAGAAGTTTGGCGTTGGTCGGTGGTCGGGAAGAGATCCTGCGATGGTTAGAAGCAAGAGAGCTCCCGAATCTTTCCATTATTTTGTTCTGTTTCTTTTTTTTTTTTCGCTCCTCCATGTGAAGAATGGAGGTCTATTTATAATTTTTTGAGAGTGACGTGGCTAGTAAATATAGAGAAGATCAAGGACAATTTGAGAGTGTTTCATTAGATGGTTCACACTGATTCTCTTGATCATAGTGCGTTTATCAAGCATTTAGGTGCCTTAGCGATGTCAAATTGAGTGATCTTGTGCTTGTTGGATTTATCTCGTCTCGCCTCTCGATTCGACTATAAGCATGCTATATTTGGACGTTATTTGCTTATACAATTAATGTTCTGAAGCTTCAAAGTAGGCTTCGTCCTTTGATTTGGGCTCATTTGGGGTCCGATTGGACTGCACTTGGTATCATTGGATTTGTCTTACTTAGATGATCAATTTCATTATAGGTTTGCTGAAATTAGAGTTTGGATGATCTTGAATTTAATTTTGAAAGCCTCCAACTCATATTTGCATCAAGATTCGTGCTCAAGGCAGATTTTGGTGACATATCAATGCTAAATTATTTAAAATTAATTAATAGATTAAATCATTAAAATTAAATTTTAATAATGTATATTAAAAAAAATAAAATATAAAATAGATAAACAATTAAATATAATTACTATATAATTAAATGAAATAAATATTGTTCTCATTATTAAAAAAATTGTTTAAAAATATATAATGTATATGTTTAAAGTAAAAATTTCAACTAGTTGTTTAGTTTCATATTACTTGGGAGCTTTATTTTATGTTGTTTATATAGCTTTTCCTATTTTCATGGTTTAAGAGCTCACATTAGATGGTGGGACAATGTGGGTATGAATTGTTGGTAATTAATTGATACATAATTATTATAAAAATTTCAGCTCATTATTAAATTAAATTTGTTATATTGAAATTAATTTAATATTTTATATTAAGTTAAATTATTTAAATAGGTTATAAATTGAATTGATTGGTTCTTAAAAATTGGGATTGATTCAACGATTGGCTAGTTGAACTGGCAGTTCAAACTGATTCTCAATGATTTTATGTTGGGCCGATTTTTCATGAGGACCGAACCGGCCATATGACCGGTTCACGGTTGAACCGGTCGAATCGGCCGGTCCGGTCTAGTTTTCAAAACTACGGCTATTATGTCTACTCTCTTTACATTTACTACACTAGGGGATTATAGTTGGCATTTTTAAGCTCCTTTTTTGTGTCATTTAGTTGATGGAGCTCTTCTCAACACTGTAGCCGGTCCCTCTTTGGTTTATTATAATTTTGTGACAATGGGTATACTATGTTGTTTTCAGGCCATTCATTAGGACGACTGATTTTCATAATATTGAACTCATAAGTTCTCCGATAAGTATTCACTAAGTAGTAGCTGTCGACAAACTTCTTAGGATCAAGCTCACCCATGTTGATTGCAGCACATACATAAAGACAACGCAAGCCAATTAATTCCTATCTTCTGCAATTGAATGGCATGGACTCTTAAGTTCAAGATGTGTTGTGCCCTATCATTATAGTGATTTAGTAGTTGTCATTATTAGCCTTCACACCAATGCAATTCCCAACTTCATAAAAATTTCTTCCAAGTGTTTCACGAATCCTTGGACAGAACATTTCATTCCACCATGATGAGCTCTTCTTTTTTTCTTGTATCGATGTTATCACCAAAGTTCTGATGCTCTTGAACATGGAGATCGTAGGTATTGTTCTTGCTTAAAAAATGATAAAGTTGAAACATTCAAACATGTTATTGAGTAACGTGTTGCATGTAGAGATGCAGTTAAAATGTGATTGTGACCACTCTCCTTTTTACTTCTCATTTAACCATTTGTAAGATTGCTATCCAGTTTTACCAACTCTTGCATGTTGTAGGTGTTTTGGTTAATTGTGGTAGTCTTAGTTCCTACTCACCAGTCATTCTTCAATGCAACCACTTGAATTCAGCAAACTTAAAATTTTGATGCAGATGTTGCACACCGAATCTATTTATAACATGTGGGAAAATATTTTCAAATGCATGAATTATACCCTTCTGTTTATTGAGATGAATGTAAACCTATAATCAACTACTTCTTGTCTCATTTTCAAAAACAGTCCTTGCCATTGGAAAAACGTTATTACTATCATCTAAACTAACTGTAGTTATTAGTTAGAAAGCATCTAACAACCCCTATGCTTGGCCTACAACCTGTGAGGAAGCCTTTTTTCCATACTTCTAACAACCCCTATGCTTGGCCTTTTGGCCTTTTAAGTTCATGTTCAATGTAGTTTGTACAAATATTGTTATGCCTGGATTTGTTCTTATAATCTATGACTAATGATCCCATATCTTCTTGAATTGTTCTTCCTCATTTTGCAGCAACTTTTGAGCCTTATTGATTGCTTTCCTTGCTTGTGACTTTGAGACTGTTCACTTTCGCATGTATCTTGCGATCTATTCGGGCAAGCATGATGAGAGTAGTGGCTAGCTAATGCGACATCACAAGAAATGGGTTTGAAACTCTTCGACCGTGATTTAAATCGCATTAACTCCGTTCATTCGTAAAACAAACTGTGCAAATATGTCTAAAGCGTCAAAATTATCAAATAAATACCCCTCCCTATCGATTCAATGGAATGCAACAAGAATAATGGACAGCGGGCATAAAGTTGTGCAAAAATCTCTCAAACATCACATGTTTGTGAAATAGTGTCAATGCATTCGGAATGTCAAAAATATCAAAGAAAGCACTTCTCGCACGCACTTTATCAAACACAATGTAGTGGGACACTATGAGCTCAACATTGTAGCTAAGTTGCATGTTCGTAAAACTGATTGTACCCTACCCATATGAAACATCAAAATTACCTAGAAATGGTACACATATCGCTTGCATTGTGCCATGAAGCCAAAACGCAAAATTTTCCCCTACATGAGGCAACAACATGCATTTCAATACGTATGAGAAAAGAAGAATTGTGCGAGAATGTGAGCACAAACTTTTAAATTAATTAATTATTTTAAAATTTATTTTAAGAAATCAAAATAAAAGTTCGCCTATCCTAGAAATACTCGTAACTGTGAATTGTGACCTGTGGCTTTTCCCATCCATCGTGTAACTTTAAAAAATTGTACTAGAAATTAAATCTAAGAGAACGTAAGATTTTAATAAGGAATTTTGATTCGGAATGTCAAAAATATGTGGGAAAAAGTGGTTAGTGATATTAACAATATTGCAAAAGATGTCCTTGGAGTATCAAAAGGAAAAACTCCTAATATAAAAAATAGTTGGTGGTGGAATCCAAATGTGCAAGAAAAGATTAAAAATAAGAAGTTTTGTTATAAAAATTAGTTTAATTTTAAAAATTCTGATAATCGGGAAATATATAAAGTGGCTCATAAGAATGCTAAGAAAGCAATATGCGATGCAAAGACATTAGCTTTTAGTGATTTATATAATAGATTAGATACTAAAGAGGGAGAAAGATATATGTATAAGTTAGCCAAACAAAGAGATAGGAGTAGTAAGGATTTAGTTCAAGTGAAGTGTATTAAAGATGAAGATCAAAAAATACTTTTCTTAGAAGATGATATTCAACAAAGATGGATGAGATATTTTGCTAAACTTTTTAATGAAAATTATGAAAATAAGATTGACTGTTAGGAGAGTAGAGGTATTAGATTTGACCTATGTTAAGAAAGGTAGGGGTAGACTTAAAAAGACTTGGTTAGAAAATATTAGAAATGACCTTTCTTTATTAGATTTAAACAAGAATTTGACTTTTAATAGGACACAATGGAGAAAAATGATTCATGTAGCCAGACCCCACGTAGTGGGATAAAGGCTTGATGTTGTTGTTGTAGAACGTAAGATTTTACAATGATTAAGATTCTTAGTAGAAAGAAGAAAATTTTTATGTATTAAACTTACCAAAATTTCAATCATTTATAAAAATCAATCTCGAAATAATTTAGAAGAAAGAACAAGGATAGAAAGTGCAAATTTGGGAAAATTCAAGACTCATGCCAATTCAAGGAGAATGTGGCACGGTAGTTGTTGTAAAGACTGGTGAAGTGTCCAAAGAACCCATATTCTAATATCGCACATAAGAATTGAGTTAATCTGGAATTTTGATTCAGTCATTCAATCTTTTTTTTCTTACATGCATCAATGGTTCTATTTTTAACCATGATATTACAATTTTCAAATCCATAAACTTACATTCTAGGAGGACGTCAAGTTTTCATCCTTAGTTCTAGTAAAAAACAGCATATTTCCATTTTAAAATCCCGTTCCTGTATGTTAACAACAATTCCTGGCCTCAACAACAGCGCAATACTTGAGAATAAAAGGAACCAAATATCCTAATACAGTATAGTGCCAGGTCAGGAAAAACCGTAGTTGGCAAGAGCCGTGCATATGAAACTTTTGCTGGCAGATTCACAAAATAGTATGGAAGGTAGTGGCACTTGATTATAGCAGCAAGTGCTCAGAAACTAGAATGGAAAGTAGTGGTATTGTTTCTGTCTCTTAGAAAATGGAAATTAGTGAAGTTGCGGTATGGTTAATGGGCAACACTACTTCTTCTAGGGGAAAAGTACAGACCTAAAATGCTGAAACAGAAATTTGAAGCCAACTGCACTAGAGAATCCAATAAGAGTTAAACCAAAGCACTTGCAGAAGTAAAATTAATCCCACCAAGATATTGAAATCACTGGAGAGCGCATCCAGTTCTAAATAGGGGCATCATCATAGGCATGCTTTAGATCAAAGTACAGAAGAAAAAAATACAACACCAAAAACTTTATGCTGAAACTCAGAGTGCCATTGTACTCATGCCAATGCTTGCAACTTGTGTTTCTAATGAGTATGAACTCTCAAATTTCCATAAATTTTCGTCCAAGCAGATCTAAGGTAACACTTCTAGAAAATTTTCAAAAATATTTGCAAAGAATAGGTTTAACATTTCTTTCAGCATTTGATAAAAATAAATAAAAAATGAAGATTTATAAGAGTAATCCTAAATAGTTGGTTAAGTTTAATACTTTAATCATGTGTATGGATTGACACTTCTGAAAAGAAATCAATTAAAAGAAGATCATCCTTTATTGCTTTCAAAGAATATTCAATAAATTAGAAAATCAGCAGTGTTTATTCTGGAGAATTGTATGGTCTCAATGCTTGATTTAAGGACAGATTTCCTGTATCAAATTTATTGGAAGACCTTGACACATGCATAAGGTATAGCCTATGACTGATATTCCTTTTTGGCTTATCATTTGTTAATTTTAGCTTGGTTATGCTTATTTAATTTTAAAGGAGTATGATTGGAGCTCAAATGACTTACTAGTAGTTTTTTCTTTCTAGTTTCCATGTTTATGGTGCTGGTATGATTGATGTTGCAATCCTGAAATGTTTCATCAATTTGAAATATCTCCTTGCTCAGTTTTTTTTTTTCTTTTGTCTAGCAATGATTTTGAGCTGAATACTTACTTGTGAAGGTTTTACATGTATTTAACAAATGAAATGTAAACTATGAGCTTGTGTTGAAGTTTTTCTTGTAGTTAATTCGTTGTGTTTTATTTCATGTCATTATTGCACGTACATTGCTATGATTATACAATTTTGGGTGCCTTTCAATTGAATAATTGATGAGACTCATGAGAGATACTCGTGTTTTTTTATCTTTATTTGACCTTATATTTGCATTGGTAAAACCATATAGTTGCTTGCGTGTTGTCCAGGCTTATTATCTTGGAGTGGTAACTGGTAGCTGTACAAGACTAGTATATAGTATGTTCTTTATGTCACCATACATAATTGATCATAGATGATTCACTTTCTCACTCTATTGCATTTATTCTTTAAAGGCAATGAGGTGGAATGTGAGCAACTGGTGTGGTCTGTACAAAAATCTGGAGAAAGCTTCCCATTCAGCTCTTATGTCTGGCGAAGGGGAACCATACCAATATGGTGGGGAGCAGACTTAAAATTTACTTCTGCAGAAGCTGAAATTTATGTTTCTGGTCAGGAACCTTACAGAGGAAGTGCACTCTATTATCAAAGATTAAGTAGAAGATATAAAGCTCAGCGTTCTGATCTTACAGCTGTCAGAGAAAAGAAAACTTCTTTGATACCTATAATTTGTGTAAACTTGCTCAGAAATCATGAGGGGAAGTCAGAAACCATTTTGGTGGAACATTTTAAGGAATCCATAAAATATGTTAAATCTACTGGTAAACTTCCTTATACTTGGATTCAACTGATAAATTATGATTGGCATGCTACTGTGAAATTAAAAGGTGAACAGCAGACTATTGATGGACTTTGGAGACTTCTCAAAGCTCCCACAGTATCCATTGGTTTTTGTGAAGGGAATTATTATCCTTCAAAGCAGCAACTCAAGGAATGTAGAGGACTTTTTGTGTCTAATAGTGAAATTGATGGTGGGTTCTGCCTAAATTCACTTCAAAATGGGGTAATACGTTTCAATTGTGCAGATTCTTTGGATAGAACAAATGCTGCCAGCTTTTTTGGGTCTCTGCAGGTTTTTGTGGAACAATGTAAGAGGTTGGGCTTTTTTCTTGACAGGGATTCACTTTCTGGCTTTACATCAGTAAATAGATTTGGTGAGTATAGCAAATATGGGGTTGGCTCTTTACCTCCAGGGTGGGAGGAGCGCAGGGATGCCGTAACGGGGAAGCCTTTCTATATTGATCATAACACGCGTACAACTACATGGGAACATCCTTTCCAGGACAAACCTTGGAAAAGATTTGACATGTCATTTGACCAATTCAAGAGCTCAACGTTGCTAACTCCTATAAATCAATTAGCTGATCTATTCCTTCTAGCAGGTGATATACATGCAACGCTCTATACTGGTTCAAAAGCTATGCATAGTCAAATCCTCAATATATTTAATGAGGATGGAGGAAAATTTAGCACGTTTTCTGCAGCACAGAACGTTAAAATCACTCTGCAAAGAAGATACCAGAATGTTCTTGTAGATAGTTCTAGACAAAAGCAGTTGGAAATGTTCCTTGGAATAAGGCTTTTCAAGCATCTCCCTTCAGTTCCAGTTCATCCTCTGAAAGTAGGTAGAACTATTTCCATTTTGAGTAATATTTTTTAAATATAAATGCATATTGTACACATTTTTTGATAATTGGAGTGAATAATTTTTCATTTTGGTATAGAAAGCTTAAATAGGCTTATGCAACATAACCTATGTCACGACCCAGCTTGGAAACTCGAATTAACAAGACGGGAACGAACAGTTGAACGGTTAATACGTTTTCCACAATTACACATAATAGTAATGATTAATATTCCTCAAACACTAAAGAGCCACTAACATTACTTATACATTGAATATACATTTAAACATAAAGACATTTTACTTGTTTTCATTTGATCATCGTCTTCTGTAGATGTACTCATCTCTTTCTGTCATTTTCACTTATCAAGAGACTTACATGAAAATATTAGTTTAATAGAGTGAGTTTACAAAATAAACTTAGTGGGTAATTGATGTAGACAAGGAATATAGGGGACCCTATATTTCTTGAACACAAAAGACACACAAGAAGAACACTGACAAAATGAGTAGAACTTAAAACAAACTTTGTTAAATAAACTCAAATGACCCAAAACTTGACAAACACAACAAAAGATGCTAGGAGATTTTAAAGAAATAAAGAAACTTAAAAAGACGCTATCCTCAGACAACCGTCAGAGCTGGTTCCTCACATGCATCGAATTTGTAGGTTAAATAAGTAAAGTGCATAGAACTAGCAAACCGATGGTCCACCACTGCAAGATTGGCCAATTTCTTCAACAGATGCTTCAAATCAACTCTGATACGACACCCTAAAGTTGCTTTACTTTGAGAAGAAGGATACAGATGGAGTGGCACTTGCGGAGAGACGAAAGAGGTTAGAAGCCCGAGAAGAAAGGGTGGAAAGAGCCCGCAGGATTTCCGGAGGGGATGAGAAAAGAAGGTTGGAAAGAGCCCGCAGGATTTCCGAATAAACCCGCAGGTTACTAGCAAATATGCTCACAAATATCAACTGCCTTTTCCACACAACATCATCTCATTTTTATAGGCAAGAGAGAGGAATGCCAAGAGTCTCATATATTAATTTCCTACATAGAAATTTTCCCCCATGCTCACCAGGAACCAAAGAGACATTCAGCAGGCTGAAAATTCAAAGCAGCCAAGCCACAGAGTTCGGAAAAACAGCCAGCACCTCACGGATCCAAGGAGCCAGCACCTCAGGCCGTGAGTTCAAAGCAGCAAAGCCACGGGAAATTTCTTCCCAGTTCGGAATTCAGCTCCACATTAAACCAGAACAGGAATCCAAGGAGTTCATGTCTCGGTAAGCAAACAGCCCGCTAGAATCCAAAGCAACACAGGCTCAGGAAACCATCAAAGCACGGAAAAAACAATGGCTGGCCGAACTCCCAAGAGTTTAAAGCACATTTATTATAAAGTTATTGCTTTGAATTCAGCCACCATTTAAAAGTAAACCACGGTTCTCCAAGAGACAAGAAGAAAAGGGGAAGGGGAAGGGACAAGGCCACTCCAAAAGTAAACTTCATAATAATGTACCTTTTTTGGATAATAATGAGCTACTAAACTTCAGCTCAAGCAACTTAGGGAATAAGCTCAAAACCGAATGCTCCAAAACAGCTTACTCGAGAACCACCAGCAGCCAGGGACCAATCGAGCCAGCAAACCAAAGGTCTACCAAGCCATATGCACACCTACCATGATCATTGGATGCTTTCCCGTCATTGGATAGCTAAAAAAAGAAAAGAAAATAAAATACACGATTGTTCAAATAAAATAAAAAGTACAGAATTCTTGATTTCATCAGTAATTATTCTTATAACATAACAGTTATACATTAAAAATACATAATGAATTATATGCATTTTTCTTTTTCTTTTCATATAACATATACGTAAATATATCAATTCATATGGGTTAGATCTTTATTATACATTTGTCCAATAACATATTATTTTTTCAAATTAATATTCATCCATATTTCTTTTTTTCATTTATCCCTTCACTTTTTCATTTAGTACATGATTACCGTCTAAATGTAGCAATAAAGATATAATCATTTTCATTTTTTTTTAACGGGCATGGATAAGTTGCTTTCCCAGCCAGTACCATACGGCAGTGGATTATTGTAATTTGCATGCATGTACATTTTCCCTCTTTTATTACTTTTCATTTTTATATAATTCATTACCTGTATATACATTATACTATAATCTTAGTCATTCAATAATTCTCAAGATTGTTGCATACTTAACATTTAAATGTATCATCTATACAATGATCATTCCGTATAAATATAATTCACATTTAAATTTTCTTTATTATTTCAATTAATTCTTATGACATGCTATAATTGCAATAATTAAAAGGAATTGTAATAACATAAAGAAAAGAATTTGAAATTGCAATAAAACAATTATGCTATATTACCCACTTTGAATATTTTTATATTTTTAGATTTCTTCCAAATCTTTGATTATCTGAAATATACCTCTAATATTTATCTTAGGCTTCGTTTGGTAGTGCATAAATTTTTTCGTTTGCGGTTTCAATCTGAAAAAAAATAAGTATTTTAATGTTTGTTTGCGTCACTTTTTTAAAGGCCTTTTCATATAACTCCGAAATAACACCGATTTCAGAAGTAAAAAAATTCCGCTTCTTCGTTATGATACTTCCGTTTAAAAATGAATAAAACTCCGGTGGAAATCAAACGAAGCCTTAGTATGAAAACCTTTCACTTTTCAAAATAACACAAATTACTTTAACCATTTCTAAACAGGGATTTTGAATAATTAATCCTTATTACATAATATTAAAGGGCATAAATTCTTCCACAATCTCAATTACAGTTTCTACCATTATCTTCAAACAAAATATGTGATTAAACTTTTCTCAATTAAATAATTACCTCAAGGAATCTTTCCTTTTTTCAACAAATCTTTACTTCCTTCACTGCTAATTGACTCCCTTTACCATTAGATATAAGCTTACTATAATTGGATTCTTCCTACAACAATAATATTTCTTAAATTAGGAGAATTATAAAATTTTCCTTCTTTTAGTTTGAACAGAAAAATAAGAAAGGGAATTTACTTACACTTTCTTATAAAAGAATTTTTCAAATCCAAACACTTCCTCTTTCTCCGTCAGATTTTCTTCTTTCTGAAATCATATACTATTATTACCAATAAAATAAATTTTATAATTTCTATTCTTCAAAATTTGAACAACAAATAAATATGAGTACAAAAGAAAATTTTCCAACACAAGATCCTTCTTCTTTCTCTCTCAAGTTCTCTTCTTTTACCTTTAAAAGAGATATGAATCATTTCTTATAATTAAATCGTGAAGAAATTGCACACAAAGTGAACAAAATTGAAAAATAGCATACCTTCCTTCTCCTTCTTCCTATCAGCCGTTTCTCTCGACTTCGCTTATTTTGCGGTAATGAGTGAAGAGGAGGGAGTTATTCTTCATGAGTTATCTGATTTCATTCCCGAACTCCTTCTCTCGGATAAAAAACTAGCCCTTATAGTCCCGCCTACGTTCGCATGCTATCCTCCTGGGCCGCGACTCTGCTTGGTTTTGTCTTTTTGATTCGCATGACTTAGTTAATATGAGCTGGCCAGTTCAATTGAATCGACCAGTTAAACTGGCTCTTACATCCTTCCTTGATGAAAGCAAATGGTTTGTTGAACATGTGAAGAGAAAAAATGCAGTATGAATGGACTATTGGTTTTTGAATTTTTTTTATGACAACAACAATCCTTTATAGTTTATCCCACTATGTTGGGTCGGCTATATGAATCTTTTTTTTCTCCATTGTGTTCTATTAAGAGTCGAAAACAATTTAGTTGGGGTGTGAAAAGTTTTCTTGCCTTGTCATTGAAATAATATTTTACTCTCACTTACGATTTTTTGTTCATCTTCAATAACTTTTATAATTGATCTGTCATGTTGTATTTCATTTTTGCAAACATGATGTTGCTCAATGTTAAGTTAAGCCTTTGGTTTTATTTACTCTAGGATTGAGAAGTTGACTCAAAATTACCTCTAATTACCTCCACAATATGCTTTATTTTTAGTTCATATGTTCTTGGTTTGAAATCAAAGAGCCAAATAATGTGCTAGGCTTGGATTGAATCAAACTTTGGTTATGTTGTGATTGGATTAAATCAAGCTAGCTCAAGATATAATTGGAATATACATGCATATATGTGAATGCATATATAAGCATATCCATCTGTATATTTGTGCGTTTTTCCCTTTATTTATGGGTGCATGGATGCCATGTGTATGCATATTGGACTACATTATCTTTAAGATAAAAGTTGTTTGAAAATGAATTGATTTTTACCTCATACAAAACTCAATCAAAAGTAAGGAGCTAAGCCTAGTTTTGATCAAAAACGAATTGTGCTAACCTCTAATGTCTCTACCCGGCCCGGATAGTTGAATTAACGAGGCGGGAACAAAAAGTCGGATGGGTATACTATTTCATTCAATTTCATAAATAATTTAACATTCAAATTCTCAATAAAATTGAAGAGCTACTATCAGAAAAATAATTTCTATAAAACCACTAATACTATTTTTTTTCAAACCTAAACATTTGCATCAATCATATATTACATACTTTCATTTGAGCGTCGTCTTCTGTAGACTTACTTCTCTCTTTCAGTCATTTTCACTTATCATGAGACTTCTATAAAAGTGTTAGTTTAATAGAATGAGTTTACAAATTAAACTCAGTGGGTAATCATCATTAATATACAACAGTTAGTCCTATAAAATAACATACATATTTTTCAACTTTCTTACATAATTAACATATGCATCTTCATTCATATACTATAGGTTTTGTAATTTCACATAATTTATTTTATATTCTGTCTCATTTGTCCATTTTACTTAACATTTCTTTAATAATTTTGACATTTAATCAATTTCTATTTTTATTAGTACAAGAGCACCGTCTAAATGTATCAATAAATGTACAACTATTTTCATTTAATGTGCATGAGTACGTTGCTTTCCTAGTCAGTACCATACAAGGGTGAAATCCTATAATTTTGCATGCATATACATTTTTCTTTTCATTTTTACATTTGTTCTATTTCAATCATAAGATTATCTTTATATGCTATTTAGAAATAAATTAAACTTTTATTTCCATTTTTTTTATTGTTCTTTTCCATGTATATGTATATGTATATACATATACATATATATATATTTATACATATATATATATATACATATATATACATATATACATATATATACATACATATATATACATACATATATTACATATCACTTTAATGACTAACTTTTATCATGAATCTTATGAATATGCTAACCTTCAAACATGTATAATTGAATGAATAATCAGGAGACTGTATGAATAAAATATAATCATGAAATATTTATAGAATAACATCATTTACCCACTTTGATTGCTTTTGAGCTTTAATTTCTTTTAAACCTCGAGCTTTGAAAATAATCTTCTGTAATGTAGCGTAAAATCTCACACAAAATTACATAACTATTATTATTAATTTTCATTAATTTTACATAGTTGTACCCTTAAAAGAAATCTTACCCATAGTTTAAAATTGCGCAATCAGAGATGCACCTCAAGGCGCGTCTCTGCGCAATTCTAGGCAAAATCTCCTCAATGCCTAAGCAATTCTGGTTCCGGAGGCGTACGCCTCTTCCACTGTGAGGCGCGCCTCTGAGGCTGAATTGCGCAATTCAGTGTGAGGCGCACGCGTCTAATAATCGGGACCCACACACTTAAGTTTAAATGAAATAAGGCTTTTCCTCCCCTCTCATAGCAGCCTACCCAAAACCAAGCAGGCAAAAAAACCCGCAGCCCGCAAGATCTTCCGCATGTTCGCTCGGCCTCCCTTCCCGCCGGCGCTACCTCTCACTCCGGCGAGCTTGAAGTGTCCGGCCGCTCTCTAGTAGAAGTTCACAAACGATTTTAGTTATCTTTTTTTAGTTCAACGAAAGATTTTTCAAATAAAAGAAAATCTAGGGTTTTAATTTTTTTGAGATTTTTTGTTTTATTTTGTATTTGTGCTTTAGGAAATATGGTTAGGGGCAAGGAAAAGACTAATACATCATTGCGACGTGACTCTTCTTGGAAGTATAGTGTACAAGTTAATGTAGGAGGCGACGAGAAGACGTATGTGTATTTAAAATGCAATTTGTGTGATAAGGTGGTGAAGGGAGGAGTAACTCACATGAGGAACACTTATCCGGCTCACATAAGAATGTAGCACATTGTGAGAATATTCCGGATAACGTGAAGGAGGAAATTACAGCTTATATGAAAAAGAGTATGACGACCAAACATTTACAACATGAACAATTTGATGAAAGGGTCGAACATGGTGCTTACTTTGGGAGCGAGAGTGGAAATGGCTCTTCCTCCACTATACTTAATAGAGGTGCACGGGGTCCTATGGACCAATATATGATTACTCAATGAGAGGATAGAGGACAAGCATATATGATGCCTGCGGCTGGTACCAAAGAGAGTCGACGGCAGATTTACATGGATATTGGCAGATTTTTTTTTGAGAATGTCATACCATTTAATGTTGCGACATCGCCGGCCTACTTCAATATGCTGCGGTCTGTAGGGTTGTATGAGAGAGGGTTGAAGGCACCTTCCATCTACGAGTTGCGAACATGGATTTTAAAGGAGCTGCAGAACACAGAGCATAGCATTGATGAGATTAAACGGACATGGATTGAGACTGGTGTTACCATTATGTCAGATGGGTGGTTTGACATGAAGAGCAGGAGCTTGATTAATATCCTTGTCAACAATCCCTACGACACTGTGTTTTTACGATCAGTTGAAGCTTCAGATGAGGTTAAAAATGCTGAATTCATTTTCAATTTAGTAGATGAGGTTGTTGAGGAGATTGGGGAGCAATTGGTTGTTCAGGTGGTGACTGACAATGCCAGTGCATACAAAGCAGCTGGTCAGATGTTAATGGAGAAGAGGAAACACTTTTATTGGATCCCCTGCGCAGCACACTGTATTGATCTTATATTGAAGGAACTTGGTGATTTACCTCAACATAAGAGTGCTCTTTCAAGGAGGGAATTTGGAGGGGGGATTAAGCCAGCGGGATTGGAGAGAGGATGGAGATGACGATTAGAAAAAAAACAAGGATAAATAAAAACAAAGAAAACCGTGAGTCTCAGACTCTTCCAAAGACTGACGGGTATTGCGTTGCCCTTCACCAAGGGACTTCAACCACGAGCCCGGACACATCCTGCGGCTGGTGGGTATTTCATTTCCCTCACATAGGGATTCTCACTAACGTCCTCCCAAAGAACAAAAGTGTAGAATAATTTTTTTTTATTAAAACTCCATCATACCTAATACAAGAGAAGGGGCCTCTATATATAGCATCAAAAGAATTTAAAAGACACATTTGCCCCTTGGGCTTACATAAGACAAGACTCTTAAATAAAAGGGTAAAAAGGAAAAATTACAAAATTAAATCAAAATACATTTAATAAACTAAAATAAAATGGAGTGATCTCGGCCATCGATCTTTGACTCTTCCTTTGAATATCGTCCACCGTCGGATGTCCGCATCATTCTCCCGTGGTGGAAAATGGCTCGACTCCGTCGAGTTCGCATCCCGGGCAACCATGTTCTGATACCAAACTGATGTAGAATGGATATAAGGGTGAGGGGGTCATTTGAAATTTGAATTTCTAACTAAATGGAAAAGGGAGGAAAGGGGTACTTAATTAATTCCTTAAATGGGGTTCCATTTTTTTGGGAAGGAATTAATTAAAATAGGAGAGAAATTGTGGGCCTTAATGGAGAAGCATTAATTAAGTAGAGAGAGAAGGTAGGAGAGAGGGGTGGCTGGTAGAGAGAGAAGAGGGTTTAGGGAAAGAGAATTAAAGTGGGCCTTGATTGGAAACCGAAATTGAGGAAGATTAATTGAAATCAAATCCAATCAAAAGTTAATTAGACCTAATTCAAACAACTTTCTTAACTTAATTAATTTAAATCAAATCCTAATTTAGGAAACAAATTCAAATTCAAATTAATTTGAATTCAAATTCATTACCAAATTAAGATGTATAAAATAGGAATGCTTTGGATACAAGATGAAATTGTGGGAGGCTTCCTAACTAAAGATTATCAAAGAGGAAAGTTTTTGAAATTCAAATGGAGAATTGGTTTCAAATAAAGACACTTTCCAAATTGATATGAGCTATTTTAGGAAGGTAACTAAGGGATGTTTGAATTTTGAAATTCAAAATTCATGGAGGGAATTTGGAGGGGGGATGAAGCCAGCGGGATTGGAGAGAGGATGGAGATGACGATTAGAAAACAAATAAGGATAAATAAAAACAAAGAAAACTGCGAGTCTCAGACTCTTCCAAAGACTAACGGGTATTGCATTTCCCTTCACCAAGGGACTTCAACTACGAGCCCGGACACATCCTGCGGCTGGTGGGTATTTCATTGCCCTCACATAGGGATTCTCACTAACGTCCTCCCAAAGAGCAAATGTGCAGAATAATTTTTTTTATTAAAACTCCATCATGCCTAATACAAGAGAAGGGGCCTCTATATATAGGCCTCAAAAGAAATTAAAAGACACATTTGCCCCTTGGGCTTACATAAGACAAGACTCTTAAACAAAAGGGTAAAAAGGGAAAATTATAAAATTAAATCAAAATATAATTAATAAACTAAAATAAAATGGAGTGATCTCGGCCGTCGATCTTCGACTCTTCCTTTGAATATCATCCACCGTCGGATGTCCGCATCAACAACACTGATATTTCTTAAGGGGAAAAGAGTGGATAAAGGAGAAGCAGCGGGGATGACATATTGGAAGAGGATGGAGGTGGTATTTGAGGTTGGGTATTGAAGTAATTGGACGGGATGCATTTTCATATTATTAAGGAGGGTTTCTTTAAGTGTTGCTTTTCTGTCCACATCAAGGCACTTTTTTTTGTGCATGACTTTTGCTCATCCTAATGTTGTCCACTCTATGAGACTCGTGGAAGAGCCACCCTGAAGGTACTATATTGCTGGTAGGTGACTTTTCCACCCAGCTGTAAGTTATTAAGAGCTTCTTCTAAGAATGTTCTGGGGCGTAGAAAATACTTGGACATAGCTATGACATGCTAGGACATGACGGCCTTGCTGCAGCTTCTGCCCAAATTAGCCCTGTAGGTTTGTAATGGATAGCAAGGAGGGCAATGGCACTATGGTGGTTTTGATCCACTATTTTATATTCCAATGTAGTGTTGACTTGGAGCTTTTAGATGCTCATGAAGTTACAATTATTTGGGGTGTGTAGATCCATATACTAAGGCTGTGTTTGGATGCTGAAAATTTAAGTCAAAAGAATTGAAAAATTAAAAAAATTCAAATCAATTGTTGCATATTCAAAACCAACCACAAATTGTTTCGTTTTCATCTCACTTCCTTCACTTGGCATCAATCCAAACAAAAAAGACAGTTTGTGTTGGCTTGGTGAACCATTCGGAGGCTTAGATAAGTGTGCTCATACTTGGGATTGTCAGGTAGGGTCAGAACTACCCATCTTGAACCTAATTTTATTTGAGTTAACTGGTGGATTTTATCCTTGTTTTAGTTGTAATGTCTATGTTCCATTCAATTGCTGTACATTTTTAATGCATGTGTACTGTCATTAATAGGAGATATATTCCCATTAGACAAAATGTGTTATTGGTGCATGGACTTCTCAATTTGTATCTATTTCTGAATGCTTATACATATTCTTTTCGTTTCTGAATAATACTGTCTTATAGTGAACCCTAAATTTACTTTTTTATTTTTGTTTAGGTTCTCTCACGGCCCTCTGGATGCTTCTTGAAACCTATACCTAGCTTGAAACCGATTGAAAGTGGCAGTTCAAGCCTTCTTAGTTTTAGGAAGAAGGACTTGATTTGGGTAAGGTCTTCTGGTATTTGTTTTTACTCTCTATGTTTCCGTTGCCATTTCTTTACATATATATATTATTTTTGTCTCATCTGATCTTATGGATTTGTTGTACAGGTTTGCCCTCCAGCCGCTGATGTTGTTGAACTTTTTATTTACCTTGCAGAACCTTGCCATGTCTGTCAGCTTCTTTTGACAGTCGCGCATGGTGCAGATGATTCATCATATCCTGCAACAGTAGATGTTAGAACAGGATGTAATCTAGATGGGCTTAAACTTGTCCTTGAGGTATATTATTTCCATTTGTTTACCTAAGATTATGGTACATTTTTCTGGCTTTGCATCAAGCCTATCACTATTACCTTGAAAATCCGCTCAAAAAAATAAATATTGACTTTTTTCAGATGCATCTGCTTCTTTTTAGAATGTAATTTCTACAAATTGCCATTTTTTTAAAAAAGATTCTATTATGTATTAGACTTTGTCAGGTGAAGCTGGTTGGCGAAGCTTGCCCAAAATTATGAAATTGAACTTGCTTTGTCAATCTTATTAGAGAAAAGAAAGCTGGTCAAGTTCTGGATATCCAAACAGTTGTACTGGTGTTTTTTTTGGAGATTTATTTCAGTTTATGTTGTTGCATTTAGGAAGAACCTTGAAATGGTGGGCAGGTTAAGGTTGGCTGGATGTTATTTCTGTGCATGTTTTTTTTATCTTGGGTCTTTGTGGTGTGGTTTTAAATGCTAGTTAGGGTTGCCTTTCCTGGTATTATTTGCAATGGCCTCTGCAGCCTTCACCAGTATAATCGTAGTTGATATGTGAAATAAGGAAGAGAGACGGTGAGAAGAATGGAAGAGAGAATGTGATGGGAATGGGAAGATAGATTAATTCCCTTCCATATTTTGTGATGTTCCGAAAAATGCCAAGGAAGACTATCCTGCTGTGAGCATGGAGTTTGTGGTTTTCGGTGTTTTTTTCGTGGCGCAACTTCTCACACTGGAGATTTCTTTGGAGCTAGAAGTCTGGTGTATCCTGATTTTATCCCCAGTGGATCTTATAATTCTACAGTCCACAATGCACGTTGTAGAACTTTGTGATATTGCTAATCCTGTTGTGCTCTGTTACGTCTGAGCTCATGAGAAGGAGAAAAAATAGAAGTATTAGAAGATGAGAGAGAGTGATCAACACAAAATGAGAATGATAGCTTAAATTGTCTAGCATGGTGCCTATGGTAAGGAAAATTGGGAGGTTGAGATGCTATTCACCTTTGCTAACACCAAAAATACACCGGTCAAATCCATACTATTTGCTGAAAGTTGATGGTGATTGACATTATTTTTATGGATTCTAAATTTCTATATACTGTAAAAGCTCAGTCATTAAAAATTTTGTTCTTAGCTTATATTATTTTAGTTTTTGATTATTTTTTCCCCTTTATAATAAATTTCGAATGACAATAACAACTATGGCAGAGTTGCCTCACTTGTAGTATGGAGTTATAAAGTTCAAGATCTATGGGAAATTGCTTCTCAGAAGCATTTCCATATTCCCAGTATATGAACAAAAAAACACTGCCATCAGTATGACTAAAAGATGCATGATTCTCTATCATATCTAGCTTAATATTGTTTCTACTGATTACTTTGGTTGATAATGACAATTCAGGGAAGCTCTTGTAAAATTGCAATCTTGCATGTTGAATCAAGAACTGGATAAATTAAATTTAGCAAAGATGCTGAAGTCAAGTTCTAGTGCATTTTTATGAATATTGATAATTATATGCATATAAAAACTTTTGAAATGATTTATTGTATTGACCTGTTCTTTGGAGGACCCATCACCAGTATTGCCTTGTGCGATGGTGGATTTTTTGAAACAACAACAACAACATCAAGCCTTTATCCCACTACGTGGGGTCGGCTACATGAATCTTTTTTCTCCATTGTGTCCTATTAAAAGTCAAATTATCATTTAAATCTAATAAAGAAAGGTCATTCCTGATATTTTCTAACCAAGTCTTTTTAGGTCTACCCCTATCTTTCTTAACATAAGTCAAATCTAATACCTCTACTCTCCTAACCGGGTCATCGGAAGGCTGTCGTTTTATGTGACCAAATCATCTAAGGCGACTCTCTCTAATCTTATCTTCTACTGGAGCTACACCAAATTCTTGTTGGTGGATTTTTTGAAAAATGAGAAAAATTTAAAAATAAACATTAAAAAGGTTACATGAGAAAGCTTTTAAACGGAGAAACCACCAACATAAAAAGAAAACCAAGAAAGTACATTTTATCATGATAATGTAATAGCTAAGAGATTGATATCCATCCAAGAGGGAGAAGCAGATCCACATTCAAACACTTACTAAGTCCAAATGCCAAGATCATCAGGGGAGTTATTTCCTTTTTCTTTTTTGTCTTTACTTCAACAGAAAACGCTAGCTTGAAATCTTTTATACATGAAACCGTGTAAACTTTTAATAGATTCTTGAGATTAAACTCAGCCAGAGTCATCAATGACCTCCACATTAGAACAATTATAACTAGCATTGGAAAACACAGCAATGGCATCACTAGTAGAGTAGATGGATTAACTACTGAAAAATAGGCTGACATATTGTTTTCCCAAACATGCATCTTGAAGGTGATACCGGGGAAACAAGGAAGAACGACTAAGCTACAAAAACACAAAGATACCTTCAAATTCCTAATTTGCTCCTTTACAACTAAGGACTAAAGTTTTTAACTCCAATAATAAATCAGAGCTTGAAAGACTGAAGAAAAACAAAAAATAAACAAGAAAATAGAATTATAGTGACTGAAAAAGAACAATGAACTGCTGTAGACTTCTGAATTTTCTATTCAATTCCTTGGTTGGTGGTTCTTGTTCCCTCCCAGATTTAACAACAAAACAACATCAAGCCTTTATCCCACTATGTGGGGTCGACTACATGAATCTTTTTTCTCCATTGTGTCCTATTAAAGGTCAAATTCTCATTTAAATCTAATAAAGAAATGTCATTCCTAATATTTTCTAACGGTCTGCCTCTATCTTTCTTAACATAAGTCAAATTTAATACCTCTACTCTCCTAACCGGGTCATTGGAAGGCCGCCGTTTTATGTGGCCAAAACATCTAAGGCGACTCTTTCTAATCTTATCTTCTACTGGAGCTACTCCAACCTTTTCACGTATATGCTCATTTCTTATCCTATCTCTGAGGGTAAAGCCACTCATCCACCTAAGCATCCTCATCTCTGCTACACTTAACTTAGTATTATGCTTCTCTTTTAATGGCCAACATTCAGCACCATAAAACATTGCAAGCCTCACTACCATCTTATAGAATTTTCCCTTAAGCTTGAGGGGTACTTTCCTATCACACAACAAGCCCGATGCATTCCTCCACTTCAACCATCCAACTTGAATTCTGTTGATAATATCCCCATCAATTTCACCATCACTCTGAATAATAGATCCTAGATATCTAAAACGTGTACTCTTATTAATGACTTGATCACCCAAAGTCACAATCCCCTCACTAGGTCTATTACTACTAAAATTACACTCCATATATTCCGTTTTAGATCTGCTCAATTGAAAACTTTTAGTCTCTAAAGTTGACCTCCATAATTCAAGTTTATTTTCAACTCCCTCTCTAGTCTTATCAACAAGAAGAATATCATCAGCAAAAATCATACACCATGGTACATCCTCTTGCAAATGTCTAGTGAGAACATCCATGACTAAAGCAAAAAGATATGGGCTTAAGGCTGATCCTTGATGTAACCCAACCGAAATAGGGAAATACTTGGTCAAACCACCTTGTGTTTGAACACAAGTAATAGCTCCTGCATACATATCTTTAATGATTTGAATATAAGCATTATTAACCCCTTTCTTTTCAAAAACTCTCCATAGCACTTCTCTTGGAACTTTATCATATGCTTTTTCTAAATCAATAAATATCATATGTAGATCCTCCTTATTTTCTCTATATTTCTCCATCAAACCTCTTAATAAATGTATGGCTTCCATAGTCGACCTACCCGGCATGAATCCAAATTGATTTTGAGAAACATTAGTATCACGCCGCAACCTATGTTCCATAACTCGCTCCCATAGTTTTAAAGTATGACACATTAACTTAATTCCTCTATAATTCGCACAATCTTGTGCATCACCTCCCAGATTATGTATTTTATTTTCTTACTAGCTGAACTGCTGTCTTGGTCCAGCAGGGATCTTTTCTGGCGACAGTAAGATCCCCCACTTGTTCCAAGAATGATTTCTGGTTTTGAGAATCCGGAGCTGCAAGCAAATGATAAGAAAGACACCAGTAGATGACTACTTACAGGGAGGAAAAGCTGCTGAAATTGATAAAAAATGGAAACAGAGAACCTGTTAGGGGCTTCTTGCAATTCAATTGTTCTGTACTTGCCCCCATATGAAGTTCTTGGCTACTTGGATGCTGCTGTACACTTTTCTGCCCTTGGCGGCAATACAGACTAGGAAATTCATTGTTCTGGACACTAAACCTGGCAGATGGATTAATTCTGCGGCTGAGGGCCAGTGGTGCGGCTTCCAACTGCTGTCAGGCCCCTAAAGCGCAGGTTTCTAGTTGCTTACCCGGGCAACCATTGCAAACAAGATGAAGATGATCGGTCTTGAAGTTAGCGGAATCTTGTACTCCACTACAATCCCTTTCTTTCCTCTTGCAAGATTTAGGGGAAATCCGTCCCAAGGAAGGGACTCTCTCCTCTTGCAGATTTTCTAAAAAAATAAAAAAAGATCTCAAAACCACCCCTCTTTTAAAGGAAAATGGGTTATTTATAAGCACACCTAAGGGCAAAGAGGGCCCAAATTATCAAGCTACGCCTATTTTTAGAAGGAAAAGTAAGTGATTAAACAAAAAAAATAAAAAAAAAATAATAATAAGAAACCTAATTAACTAAGCAGTTTAAAGGCTAATCAAATAAATCCTTATCAGTAGACCCAACAAAAATATCTTCATAAGCCTGAGATGAAGGGGAGGTGTAAGAACCAATTTAGACTGGCCAGCTCAATTGAATTGGCCAGCCTTTAAATAAACCGTGAATCAAGCAGGGGCGAAACAACGGGCAAGCTGCAACCTGAGTGGGCCAAATGCGAGCGCGAGCGTGACTTGAGGGCTCGGTTTGCTTTTTTGAGCGAAGGATCACGTACGAGGGAGAAAAATAACTAGTCATAAGAGATAAGTCCATTTCCATTCATTCCTGTAGAAGAAAATGCAAGAGAGGGTGTTCTGTTGTGA